GAGGGAGGGAGGAGGAGGGAGAGGAGGGAGGAGGAGAGAAAAGAAAGAGAGAGAGAGAGAAGAGGAAAGATGAAAGAGAAAGAGAAAGAGAAAAGAGAAAGAGAAAGAGAAAGAGAAGAGAAGAGAAGAAAGAGAGAGAGAGAGAGAGAAGAGAGAGAGGAGAGAGAGAGAGAGAGAGAGAGAGAGAGAGAGAGAGAGAGAGAGAGAGAGAGAGAGAGCGGCCCGACCTTGATACATGCGGCCCAGCAACAGAGGCAAGAACACCCAACAGCAGGTGTCAGCCAGCGTGTGCCAAGGATGAAGTACCTCAGTGCCAACTTTGACACCGGAAGTAGCGGACCATCTCCCTTCTCTCTCTCTCTCTCTCTCTCTCTCTCTCTCTCTCTCTCTCTCTCTCTCTCTCTCTCTCTCTCTCTCTCTCTCTCTCTCTCTCTCTCTCTCTCTCTCTCACTTTCTCTTTCGGTTTCTCAATCTCTCTCTCTCTCACTTTCTCTCTCGGTTTGGCTGGCAATCTCTCTCTCTCTTTCTCCCCTCTCTCTCTATCTCTTTTTCTCTCTTGGTTTGCCGGCAATCTCTCTCTCTCTCCCCTCTCTCTCGGTTTGGCTCTCTCTCTCTCTCTCTTTCTCTCTCCCTCTCTCTCTGTCTCTCATATTTTCTTTCGGTTTGGCTGGCAATCTCTCTCTCTCTCTTCATTCTCTCTCCTTTCTCTTTTCTTTCTCTTTTCTTTCTCTTTTCTTTCTCTTTCCCTCTCTCTTCCTCTCCCACTCCCACCCATGCCCTCTCCCCATTCCCTCCCCCTCCCCCCCCAGCCCCATTCTTTATTAAATAAAACTCGTAATTCTACCTTAATCACAGCTTGCGCATGCGTGTTGAGCGCGCGTGCAATCAATACTGCAATTTAATGTTATTTTCTAAACGAGTACAATAAACACACATATATGCAATTAAGTATATATACTTGCAATTCATACATTATGTACGGTAAAATTAAAATCAAATTGCGGTGTGTTATTCGCCCGGTTTTTACCTGAATAAAAACAATTGTATTTTGTTCCATTGATAATAATAACGATGTTAATAGTGCTGCTGCTGATGATAGTGGTGATGATGATGATAATGATAATGATAATGATAATGGTGGTGGTGGTGGTGGTGGAAGTGGTGGTGATGATGATGGTGGTGGTGGTGTGATGGTGATGATGGATGATGATGATGATGATGATGATGATGATGATGATGATGATGTGATATGGATGGTGATGGTGGTGGTGGTGGTGATGGTGTGGTGGTGATGATATGTGATGATGATGATGATGGTGATGGTGATGATGAATGGTGGTGGTAGTGGTGGTGGTTTGATGGTGATGATATATGATAATGGTGATGATAGTGATGGTGATGATGATGGTGGTGGTGGTGATGATTGTGATGATGATAATATCAATTACTACTATCATCCCAACCATCAACCTTACAATCATATAATTAATCATCATAATCACTATCATGATCATCATCATTACCACAATCAGCACAACAAAAACACCAGTACCAACAACACCACCAGACCGCACAGATGTACTCTAAATGTACGAAATGCACGCAAATTCATCTCAGCTGAGCGATGCTGCTGTGGAATATCGATGTGGTGATGATGGTGGTGGTGGTGGTGATGATGATGGTGGTGTGATGGTGGTGGTGGTGATGATGATGGTGGTGGTGATGATGGTGGTGGTGGTGATGATGGTGGTGGTGATGATGGTGGTGGTGATGATGATGGTGGTGGTGGTGATGGTGGTGGTGATGGTGGTGTGATGGTGGTGATGATGGTGGTGGTGATGTGTGGTGATGATGGTGGGTGTGATGGTGATGGTGAGTGGTGATGATGGTGGTGGTGGTGATGTGGTGGTGAATGATGTGGTGGTGATGTGGTGGTGATGATGATGATGGTTGGTGATGATGATGTGATGACGGATGGTGGTGTGTGATGATGATGTGGTGGTGATGATGGTGGTGATGGTGATGGTGGTGATGATGGCTGGTGAATGGTGGTGATGATGTGGGGTGATGATGGTGGTGGGATGTGGTGGTGATGATGTGGTGTGTGATTGGTGGTGGTGATGGTGGTGGTGGTGGATGTGGTGGATGGGTGATGATGGTGTGATGATGTGGGTGATGATGGTGGTGGTGATGATGGGGTGATGTGATGGTGGTGGATGATGGTGGTGGTGGTGGATGATGGTGGTGATGATGATGGTGGTGGTGATGTGATGGTGGTGGTGATGATGGTGGTGGTGATGATGGTGGTGTGATGTGATGATGATGGTGTGGTGGTGATGGTGGTGGTGATGATGGTGGTTGGTGATGATGATGGTGATGTGGTGATGATGGTGGTGGTTGATGATGGTGGTGGTGATGATGGTGGTGATGATGGTGGTGGTGATGATGGTGGTGGTGATGATGGTGGTGGATGATGGTGATGATGGTGGTGGTGATGATGGTGGTGGTGATGATGGTGGTGGTGATGATGGTGGTGGTGGTGATGATGGTGGTGGTGATGATGGTGGTGGTGATGGTGGGTGGTGATGATGGTGGTGGTGATGATGGTGGTGATGATGATGGTGTGGTGATGATGGTGGTGATTGATGTGGTGGTGATGATGTGGTGGTGATGATGGGTGGTGATGATGGTGGTGGTGGTGATGGTGGTGATGTGATTGGTGGTGATGATGTGGTTGGTGATGATGATGGTTGTGATGATGTGGTGTGATGGTGTGATGATGGTGTGGTGATGGTGGTGTGGTGATGATGTGTGATGATGGTGGTGGTGATGATGGTGGTGATGTGATGGTGATGGTGGTGGTGATGATGTGGTGGTGGTGGTGATGATGGTGGTGGTTGATGATGTGTGGTGATGATGGTGGTGTGCTGATATGGTGGTGTGATGATGTGGTGGTGATGATGATGGGTGGTGATGATGGTGGTGGTGATGATGGTGTGATGTGATGGGTGGTGGTGAATGATGGTGTGGTGATGATGATGGTGGTGGTGTTGGTGATGGTGGTGGTGATGATGATGGTGGTGGTGATGGTGGAATGGTACAGGTGCAAGGAAGGAATCAGCGTGCAGAAAGTGGTACAGGCTGGGCGGCCGAGTAACACTTTTGTCTGAAGCCACTTAAGTGCACTTATGTGGCGGAACTTTATGGTGGGGAAAGTTTTTGAAGTTGCTGAGATGGGATGCAGCCGTGGGGGGGGGGTGAGGAAAAGAGGAGGAGGAGAATGGAAAGGAGGAGGAGGAGGAGGAGGAGGACGAAAAAGAAAATAAGTAGTAGTAGCAAGGATGATGATGACAATAATAATGATAATAATGATAATGATAATAACAATAATAGTAATAATAAAAAAATAATAGTAATGATAATAATAGCAATAATAATAATAATAATAATAATAATAATAATAATAATAATAATAATAATAATGATAATAGTAAAAACAATAATAACAAATATAACAATACTACTACTACTACTGCTAATAATAATAATGATACTAATAGCAGATGTATCTCTGAAAAAAACGAAGAAAAGAAAAAGAAAAAGAATATGAAACAAAACAAGAAAAGAAGAACCAGATAGATCATAAGAAGGAAAAAAATCCGAAGAAGAAATATAAAAGAACAGGAAAAAAGAAGAAAAACACAACATAAAAAGAAGTAATAAAGAAAGATTAAAAAGAAACTGAAATAGGATGAACAGAAAGGAGACACAAGGACCATTATACACGACAGAGCTAAGTTGGAGCTTTATGTAACGAAAAAAAAGGAAAAACGTAAGTGGCGCAATGACGCAAACGCCACTTGCTTACAACACCGGATGTAAAAGATACACCAATTTATATCTATATATAAGATGGTGATGATGATGATGGTGATGATGATGGTGGTGATGATGATGGTGGTGGTGATGATGGTGATGGTGATGATGATGGTGGTTATGGTGATGACAGGGATGGTGGTGATGATGATGATGATGGTGATGACGGATGGTGGTGGTGGTGGTGGTGATGATGATGGTGATGACGGATATGATGATGATGATGATGATGGTGATGGTGATGATGGTGGTGATGATGATGATGATGGTGATGACGGATGGTGGTGGTGGTGATGATGATGATGACGGATGATGATGTGATGATGGTGATGATGGTGGTGATGATGGTGATGACGGATGGTGGTGGTGGTGGTGGTGATGATGATGGTAGTGGTGATGATGGTGATGATGATGATGATGACAGGGATGGTGGTGGTAGTGGTGATGATGACAGCATCATCACCATAAAACCACAATAACCCCAACAGCATTTAATAACGAACACCCACATTCGGATCTAATTAGCAACAAACTGTAAATGGCACTATCAGCTGATTACGCGACGCACCATCAACGGCGATCACGTGATCTGAAGTTGATCACAGATCTTGCTCTCGTAACCTCGACCTCTTTGCCTATCATCGCCATCGTCTTAAGTGTGTGTGTGTGTGTGTGTGTGTGTGTGTGTGTGTGTGTGTGTGTGTGTGTGTGTGTGTGTGTGTGTGTGTGTGTGTGTGTGTGTGTGTGTGTGTGTGTTTGTATTCGTGTTTTGTTTAATTTCTCTACTTATGTGTTTGTTTATTTGTGTCTTCGTCGCCCTGTTTCTGTGTCTCTGTCTGTCTGCCTCCCCCTCTCTATCTCTTCCTCTTTTTCTCTCTCTCTCTCCCTCTCTCTTTCTAAATACGCACAAAATAGCTTCTTCTTGCGTATATCCATAAACGCATATACTGAATCGAAAAAAACACGAGCCTTTGTTTAAAATGACAAATAGATAAAACCAAATAAAGAATAAATCACTAATCACAAATCATTGTCTTTGCAAAGACACCTCAACCTTCCCCAATCACGAACAAAAGTACACACCAATCGCACGAACGGATTGGAGACACGGACACGGACGCCCAATCAGTCGCAGCACTTTACCTGTCCGAATCGGTGGGCGTGGCGGCTGGTTCTTCGTCTGGTATTTCAGTGGTATCCTCTGCTGGGCTTGGGTCCTGTTGCGGTGCGGTATCCGTATGTGGTAGGATGTCTTCCTGTGTGTTTTGGTCCTCCTGTGGCTGGGAAGGCTGGGAATCCTCCTGTGCTATTGTATCCTCCTGTGGAATAAGATCCTCTTCAGGTTTAGTATCCTCTTCCTTGGAATCCTGTTGTGGCTTAGGATCTTCTTGTAGGATAGGATCCTCCTGTGGCTGGGAATCCTCCGGTGTTATTGTATCCTCCTGTGGGATTGGATCCTCTTCGGGTTTAGTATCCTCTTCCTTGGAATCCTGTTGTGGCTTGGGTTCCTCTTGTGACTGAGTCTCGTCATGTGGCTTAGGATCCTCCTGTGGTTGGGAATCCTCCGGTGCTATTGTATCCTCCTGTGGGATAGGATCCTCTTCAGGTTTAGTATCCTCTTCGTTGGAATCCTGTTGTGGCTTGGGTTCCTCTTGTGGCTTAGATTCTTCTTGTGGAATAGGATCCTCCTGTGGCTTAGATTCTTCCTCTGGTTTAGGATCCTCTTGTAAGGGCTGAGACCCCTGCTCCCTGGGTTCGGAGTCCGTGGCCGGGACATGGAGCTCCTGCGGGACCGGCTGGTGTTCGGAATTAGTCCGAGGTCGAGGGGGATCTCCTGGCTGAGGGGCGGGCGCCTTTCGAGGGGCTGCTTGGGCGTCGGGAGGGGGGCGCGGCGAGTGACTGTGAGAGGTAGCTGCTTGGGGGGGTTTAGACGGCTTAGGCTTACTGCAAAATGACCCCATGGCCCCCAAAGGAAGCAAATGAGAGGGAGAACGAAAGCGAAAGTACTCGAGGATGGGAGGAGGAAGGGGGACCTTGTTTAACGAATGACAACCTTTCCGGAGGGTAATGTTGGGTCTGCCGACAGAGACCTCAAAAACTCCAGATAGCAAGAAGAGATATCTTTCGTATCTTGAGCTGGTGAGTTTAGATAAATGTTCTATCAGTAAACCTCCACGACCCATGAACAACTATCAATAATTCTGGTGTCACGGCCTGGCATGAACTTAAGACTCAACAGATAATACAATCAATATATCCATCTGTGATTACAGAGTGATTATTTTAGTGTGTAAATGAGGTTTTGGTACACTAGTTCCACAAAACAAAAACATCTATTCCCCTCAACTCACCATGTAATACTGAAGATAACACATATCTAGAAAAATTAATTTCTACCACTATTTTTTCCTTTTACTTTAGCAATATGGATTTTCTTTACAAAAACAAAGAGAGAGCAAGATATAATTAGATAATACATAGAGAGTGAGAGCATGTGTGCTTGTTTGGGTTCAACCTATTAAAAATGGTGGCAGAGGTGGGCTTTATTTTTGCATTCATCTTTATAACACTGGCAGTTATCATGAAAAAAGATGAATTCATAATCTAGACGAATTCAGACAAACTAATATTACTTCACCAATCTTCAGTATGCCAAGGGAAGAAGGATGGAGAGAGAGAGAGAGAGAGAGAGAGAGAGAGAGAGAGAGAGAGAGAGAGAGAGAGAGAGAGAGAGAGAGAGAGAGAGAGAGAGAGAGAGAGAGAGAGAGAGAGAGAGAGAGAGAGAGAGAACGGCTGTGCTACCCTAGTCAATGGCGGGCGTGGAGCTTCAAAATATTTCTTCATCAGAGTCATTATTAGCATTTTCTTTCGGCTTGTGTTTGTAAGCGTGTCGGTTAAACGACCATAAAATATGATTCACTCTTTCTTCCTATTCTTCCTTCATTTTTTCTTTATTGCATCTTCTTCTCTCCCCCCCTCTCTTTCTCTCTCCTTCTTTCTCTTTCTCTCTCCTTCTTTCTCTTTCTTCTTCCTTTCTCTTCTCTTCTCTCTCTCTCTCTCTCTCTCTCGCTTCTCTCTCTCTCTCTCTCGCTCTCTCTCTCTCGCTCTCTCTCGCTCTCTCTCTCTCTCTCTCTCTCTCTCTCTCTCTCTCTCTCTCTCTCTCTCTCTCTCTCTCTCTCTCCTCTCTCTCTCTCTCTCTCTCCTCTCTCTCTCTCTCTCTCTCTCTCTCTCTCTCTCTCTCTCTCTCTCTCTCTCTCTCTCTCCTCTCTCTCTCTCTCTCTCTCTCTCTCTCTCTCTCTCCTCTCTCTCTCTCTCTCTCTCTCTCTCTCTCTCTCTCTCTCTCTCTCTCTCTCTCTCTCTCTCGCTCTCTCTCTCTCTCTCTCTCTCTCTCTCTCTCTCGCTCTCTCTCTCTTTCTCGCTCTCTCTCTCTCTTTCTCGCTCTCTCTCTCTTTCTTCTCTCTCTCTCTCTCTCTCTCTCTGCCTCTCTCTCTCTTTCTCGCTCTGCCTCTCTCCTCGCTCTCTCCCTCTTTCTCCCCCCCCTCTCTTTTTTGTCTCTCTCCCCTTTCCCTCCCTCCCTTCCTCCCTCTGTCTCTTTTTTTTTCTCTCTCTCTCTTTCTACCCTCCCCTCGCTCTCTTTCTGCCTATCCCTCTTTCCCTCCCTCCCTCCCTCCCTCCCTCTCTCTCTCTCTTTTAACATTCCACAATCAGGATTCAAGCAAGTATATAACAGCAACCGCATCAGCAGAACAGAAGAGCAGCCGACGGAACAGCTGATCAAAAGAAAGGCGGAGCAGAACAGCTGAACAGTTACAAAAAAGAACAGAAGAATAGAACACCTGAACAACGAACAGAAGAACAGAACAGCTGAGCAAAGAGCAGAAGAACAGAACAGCTGAGTAAAGAGCAGAAGAACAGAACAGCTGAACAAAGAGCAGAACAGAACAACAGAACAGCTGAACAAAGAGCAGAACAGAACAGAAAGAACAGAAGAACAGCAGAACAAAGGAAAAGCAGAGCAGAAGAACAGCTGAACAGTGGCAGAAGAAGCAACGGACGTGTTAATGACAGTGACAGCGTAACGGCGTGACGGAGTTACGAGTGAACCTGAGGCATTTTGCTTGCGTAACGGTGGGGGGAGGGTGAGGGGAGGGAGGAGGAGGAGGAGGAGAAGGAAGGGCAGGAGGGGGAGATGAAGGAAGGGAGGAGGGAAAGGGAAGGAGGAAGGGGAGGAGGAGGAGGAGGAGATGGAGAGAGGGGAGGAGATGGAGGAAGGGGAGGAGATGGAGGAGGGAAGGAGGAGGGGGAGGGAAGGAGGAAGGGGAGGAGGAGGGAAGGAGAAGAGGGAGGAAAAAGGACGAGAGGGAGGAGGTATAAGGAAAAATTGGGAGGGAAGAAGGAGGAAGATGAAGAAAAAGAAGAAGTAGAATAGGAGGAGGAGGAAAATAATAATAATAATAATAGGAACAAGAGGAGGAGAAAAAGCAGAAGAAGAAAAAAGGAGGAGGAAGAGGAGAAGGAGAAGGAGAAAAAAGAGAAGGAGAAGGAGGAAGAGAAGAAGAAGAAAAAGAAGAAGAAGGAAGAAGAGGAGCACGAAGGGAAGGAGAGGAGATGAAAAAAGGTAGAGAATATGACAAGATGAAAAAAACATGAAGAAGGGGATCATAAGGATGACAATGAGGAAGGATAAAAAGGAGGACAGAGTGGATAAAAGAAAGAGACGAAACTAAAAATGCGAAGAGGAGAAACAAAAGAGAGAAAAGGAAGAGGAGGCCATGAAGGAACGACGAAAGACGGAAAAAAGTAAATACAAATAAGAGCTGAAACCAAGACGAAAAAAAAGGAAGAAAAAAAAAGTAAAAAAACAAAACAAAACAAATGAGGAATAATAGCGGAGAATGTGGCAGAGAAGCTGATGGTGAAAATGGAGGCGATGGTGATGCGTATGACGGAGACAGCGATGACGCAAGAATGTGGCGGTAATTTCTGGAGAACGCAAAAGGGACAAATACACCGGTATGTGCATAGTCTCCACCCCCCCCCCCCCACCCCAGCTCTCCTCCCCCTCCCTTCCTTGCTCCCCTCCTCCTCCTCCTCTTTCTTTTCAGCCCTTCTCTCCTTCTCTCTATCTCTCTTACCTTCTACCCTCTATTTTGTTCTGCTTCCCATATTCTTCATCTTACACACACTCATCCTTTCCTCCTCTTAAATATCCTTTCTTCCCTCTATCCTTCCCTCCCTCGTTCCCTCGCTCTCTTCACCCTTCATTTCCTCCTTCCATCCTCCCTCCCTTCCTGCCTTCCATCGCCCCTCCCTCCCCTCCTTCCCTCCCTTCCATCGCCCCTCCTTCCCACCCTTCCCTCCCTCCCACCCATCCCTCCCTCCCTCCCTCCCTCTCTTCCTCTTTACCCTTCCCTCCCACGTCCCTCTCTCGTCCCCCTCCCTCCCTCCCTCCTCCCCCCCCCCCCTGCTGTCACTGCATCACACGCCTCTATTGCATCACTCAATCCTCCTTCTCCCTCCTTCCATTATCATTGCCACTAGTGCTATGTCCTTTTTGTATCTTTTATGTTTTCCTCTTCGTTGTTGCACTGAAAATAAATTTATAGATGAAAAAATGGTAATAAAAAAGTTTATGAGTCAGACTGATGGGAAAATGTCATCTAATTGAACAGGAAAAAACGATTTTTCTCTGTGAATTAAGATAACTCCTTTCCTTTGCCCACCACCTTTCCCTGGCCCCTTCCTGCCTCCTGGTCTCTCTCTCTATCTCTATCCCCTTCCTGCTTCCTATTCTTTTTCTCTATCCCTACCCCCTTTCCTCCTGTTCTCTCTATCCCTACACCCTTCCTGCTTTCTATTCTTTCCCTCCATCCCTATCCCCTTTCTGCCTCCTGTTCTCTCTCTCTATCTCTATCCCCTTCCTGCTTCCTATTCTTTTTCTCTATTCCTACCCCCTTTCTGCCTCCTGTTCTCTCTCTCTATCCCTACCCCCTTCCTACTTTCTATTCTTTCCCTCTATCCCTACACCCTTTCTGCCTCTTGTTCGCTCTCTCTGTCCCTAACCCCTTTCTGCCTCCTATTCTTTCCCTCTATCCCTACCCCTTTTTTTGCCTCCTGTTCGCTCTCCCTATCCCTAACCCCTTTCTGCATCCTATTCTTTCCCTCTATCCCTACCCCTTTTCTGCCTCCTGTTCGCTCTCCCTATCCCTAACCCCTTTCTGCCTCCTATTCTTTCCCTCTATCCCTACCTCTTTCCTGTCTCCCATTCTTTTCCTCTCTCCCTACCCCCAAAACCTCATGCTTTCTATCCCTTCCCCCCACGCAACTACCTACCCCCTACCCATGCCCCCATTTTCCCCATCCTATCCCCTTGCCCAAACTTTCCCTAACCCCTTCCCCCAATCTTATTCCCTCTCCTTCTTATCTCTGTCCCTCCCACCCCCATCCTACCCCACATTTACCCTCCTCTATCCCCTTTCCTCCAATCCTATCCCTTCACCTCCTTCTCCCTATCCCCCTACCCCACCTCATCCCCTTACCTATCCCTCTTACCCTCTTGTTCTCTTGCTAGTCTATCCCCTTGTCTCCCCCCTTCCCCTCCTCTTGCCCAGACCCCCTAATTTACCAAGCTCCTGTGAACTCCCAGTAGCGAAGCACATAACACAAGAGCTCTTAGTTTCTCTCTGTCCCGGCTCGTTGTCTTCAACTTTCGTCTCCACTCGTTGTCTGGCCTCAACTTGTCTTCACTCGTTCGAACTTGCATTCTCGTTTCAGCTAGTCGGCTCCACTCGTCTATACTCGTCGTCTCCACTCGCTTTCTTGACTCAACTCGTCTCCACTCGTTCGAACTTGTACACTCGTCTCTCAGCTCGTTCGTCTCAACTCGTTTCGTTCAAAAAAACTCCCCGGCTCGTTTTCAATCTCCAACTCGTCCTAACTCGTACATTCAACTCATCTTAACTCATCCCAACTCGCTGCCTACACTCGTCATCTGAACTTTTTTTATTAGTAGTATATTTTTATTCATTTATCTTTTTTTTTTTTTTTTTGAACTACAGCTACGTGAACTCGTCGCCTGAACTCGTCCCAGCTTAACCCACGTTCCCACAGAGCCTTGAATACCGCCTGAACGAAGTCATTGCCGTTGACTGAGGGGGAGGAAGCGGACA